GACACTCTGGAATAAAGCTGCGGTCCATGCTCAGGCATCTGCAGTGAAGGGCCATCTGACTGACCACCCAATGATTTAATGGAGTTCACACTGTGTGTATATCCGCAAACCCCAGCGGTTCCCCAGGTAAGGTAGGCATGCAACAGAAAGTGAGTCATGCAGGGATGGAGGTAGGTCCGGACTCCCCTCCACGATTACTGGCATTTGCCTAACTCGCGCCTTAGGTGTTGTGATTTCACAGATAGTTTCGTCTCGATATACGCTCTCCTGACCCGTCCGTCATGCCACATGCCTTCAACGACCGACCAGAGAAATCTCGAGGACGTCATACAGTTGACCCTGCAAACTGATCTACACCAGGGATCAAATCCAAACCATGACTCCCGCTGTGAACCGTCGAGCGAATGAAATGAATGCCGGAGGACATGGCTCAAGTGGCCATCATGTCAGGGACACAGAGATACCACAGGTGAAGAGCAGAGAATGAATGTTCGGGGAAGCAAAGAGTCGGTTGGATAGCGGACGCGAGTGCCGTAGTCATGGACAATAAATACCGGTCTGTGTGGAAGCACTTCAGTGCTCTACTACAAGTATACAGTTGTAAACACAATAGATATACCACAGAATAGTCACCCAGTGTGTCGACACGTGCCTTGGTTCACACGATGTAGCCAGCCAATTGTCCACGATCCAACAGTGGTGGAGGGAGCAGTCGTTGCTCGGATACAAGGCACGTCGGGATATTGATTCCAGGCTGGTCTTGGTTTGATGTCACCCCCCTACACCGGTTACGAACCCCGCTGAACCGAGGGAAAGCAGGACTATTTCAATCAACTCTCGCATTGGAAAGAGAGTCTAGTGTTGGCATGGGCAAGCTGCATGGTCCCTTTTTTTTCCTTTTCGTTCCCCATCTCCTTCAGAATCCGACGCCAGCCGTGACCCGTGGTCGGCAAAACAGATCTACAACTGTCGTAACTGTCCAACAAGGTTGGCGCCTTGCATGCGGCACACACGGCCCACGAAGCCATCGGCCATGGGTGCCACGCCATTCGTCGTAAGGCGTAACCAAAGGTCCATCGCACGTCGCCCTATCTACTACACCTTACCCCTCGGCCTTCTGGAAGAAAACGGGTTCACATCCTGATCTTGTGACAACGCCCTGGCTCGGCTGGCGAGAACTATACTTTCTATCTCTGCATCTCCCCAGTTCCCCGATCACGGCATTGAACACAAGCTGAACTAGGATATACCGGACCTGAAGGTTTGTCTATCTACCACCAATCGTATCCCGCTCGTGCACGTTCTTCCTCGTCCAAATGGATTGTCGTTATCCTCGGTTTGAAATCAAAACTGCGAGGCTGAGAGCACAACCGGGCTCAAGCTGGTCCATGGGATCTTCTTGTCAGGGTCTCCAGGTCATTTCCACATGACTGTCCTGTCTAGCTCCTCCTTCGTCATGACGGGACATCTTGTCTCTCTGCTGGTCCCGAACTCGTATATATCTACTTCTGCTCTGTCCCGACTGACTTGCCTACATTTATTTGCTTTTGCACTGTCTCCTTTTGCCAGCTTCCTCTCTACTCTGTCTCTGCGCCATACATTATACTTGTTGTGAGGGAAAAAGACTTAGTAACTGTTCTCCATCGAGTCGGCTGTCTCAACACGTGTTTATCTCATTACACCTGTACTTGTATACCAAAATAAGCTCCAAAAAAAGAGAGCCTCGGTCCCTGGCGCATGCATCCTCGCACTTTGCAAGATTCAATCTTATATTCCCACTGCTACCATGGCCCCTCATCGTCCTCGGCGCGTCAATGCCGACGCTCCCATTGAATCACTACACGGTTCTTCAGGCCTTACTCAACCCCACCATCACCACCACCACCACCTCAACAACACCGAAGGCTCACCCTGCTCTTGCTGCTCAGGCGGCGGCAATCATGGTTGCGGATGCGGTTGTGCGGGGTGCTGGTGTCGACTTGGGCATCATTTCAAGGATGACTCGAACCGCGAGACCTACGGAGGCCAAGGTGGTGGCCACGGTGGTGCTGGTGGCATGCCCAGCCCAGCCGTCGGCCGGCCCAGATATGTCTCGAGATTCGACGAGTCTGCTTCGTCATTTCAGTCCTCCGGGCCCTCCTTGAGCACCGGCGGCCTCAGCTTCGACAATAGCTTCGAGGTGCCGGCCCCGTTAACCCTTGGCCGGGGTCAAGCCATCGCCGCCAACACCGCTGCCCTGAACATCAACGCCCGCGCCAACGGACACCACCATGCCTCAGAGGACTTGATGGACGACGACGGCCCTCATCCGTGGAGTCTCTTCACCGAGAGCCCGAACAGCCTCGACCACATGTTCTTTGGAGACGACTCGTCCGGTATGGTCATCCCGGGCCTCAACGACGACTTGGCCCCTCTCGCCCGCGGTCCCGGCTCCAGCGTCGCCGACCGCACAACCCTGTCGAGCCAGTACGAATCGTCATTCTCGCCGCAGCCAAATGTCAGTGCGAGTGCCAGCGCTAGCCAGATTGTCGCGCACGTCGGCGCGGCTTTCGAGGATCTCTCCCCAGCTGCAGCGGCGACAGCAGCACCGTCTCGCTTCCTCCGCCTCACACCAGAATGCTCACATAATCTCCACCACACCATCTGAGCCCGATGCATGCATTGACAACAATGCTTTGAGTTGCCACCTGTTGTCACTTTTATTCCACGTCTACGTCCACGTCCACGGCCTCCGTCTCCGTCTCTCCCCTCTATCCCGCGTGTGTCACTTACTTGTATATCATCACCACCACGAAGAACCTACGGGCTCACGCCCCGTTTGGACTCGAGTTATTCGTTCCCGATTCTATCCTGACGAAGAACCCCCCTGGTCCCAAACGAACCAACCCACGATTTTCTTTCTGACATATCTCCGTTTCGGGTCTATGTCGTTGCCTCTCATGTATGATTTATTCCCGGGCGCCCGGGCGAGGGGTGACGGGCCAGTGAAGAGATGAGACACATTTGAATTCCTTTGATTCATTTCGCGATTTGCGGCTTACGGATCTTGGTTTATGGTTTACGATTCACGGGCCACGGGATGCGATGCTAACTACGAATGTTGTTATTGTGATTGTCAATGTTCTTGTTCTTGTACCGAGTATGCAGTACACAGTACGCAGTGCCTGGTACCCGGTGCCTGGCACAGCGAGCAGGAGTCATAGGTTCATGTTCTTTTCTTTCATTATCAGGAAACGACGAGATGACGATCATGTATGTGTTTCCAGACTTGGTAACGATATGTTCGAGTCCCTGACCTCCAGGTTTTCGGTTGTTGGTAGCACAATCAGCACAGTCAAATGATTTAGTTTCTCACACATCTGAATGTTCAATGTTCAATCTCAGTTTTGGGGTTAGCATCCCCGCTCTTGATGAGATATTGGGGGTGATTTTGTTAGAAGGTAGAAGGGCAGAAGGGGCTCAAAGGGCTAGGTTTCCCCAATACCCCACGAAGGGACGTCGTTGTACCAAGCGAGACCAGTCGGAAAAAATGTGTGAAAGCATGTGAAAAGAAAGTTAGAAGAAACCGATATACAAACCTGAGCCGCCTTTCTCCCTTACAACCAGATACCAACCTCTTCGCCTTCAGTGCTGGGTCGAATCGATCGATTGAGGAATCACCCAACTGGTATGACCTACTCTGTGTTAGAGGTGGCCGGCCACAACCACGGAATTGTACATCACACCCATCAGCCAAATCCGGACCGAGCAGTGTTCGAGCGAGCTCTCCCGACTGCCCTGCACGGTTTACGTAGATGACAAACCGTAACGGATCGTCGCAGTCGCAGCTTTAGCCTGCGTTGTTACTCCAGTAGTCCAGCCAGGGTGATGGGAAATCTGGACACAAGGCACTGTCCATTGTCGTCGGTGTTGATTATGCAAGCTCGATTGAAGCCGCACAGTCTTTCTTCTCACAATTCGCGACTGATGCCACTAATAGACACTCGTTGGCAAAACGCGTTCGAAATTGAAAGGAATGTGTCGACCGTTTTCGCTGAATCTCATCGCCACGAAGCTATCGACCGCTCGTGTGCGTGAAGGGGGCGAGATCTGGTTGGGGTTAGAGACACGGCAGTGCAACGGGTCGATTGGACGAGGGCGACATGCTCCGCCGTGTATTGGAGCAAGAAAGTGTCGTTTGCAGGCATCGGAGCAGAGGAGAAATGCAAATATCGAGGAAGGATCAATTGATCCATCGTTGTCGTTGCAGGATACCGTGTGATATAGTAGCCCTTGACCACTATCTAATTGAAATTGGATAATGACACACGGGTGACATATACAAGGCACGGGATTGGACGCGGAGAGATTTCGGAATTTGAGTTTCTCTGGAGTGCCGACCTTGGCGCATTGGCAAAGTCGACATCTACTCTTTCAGCCTCTACAATCACAGGCCACAACCCGAGTATCCAAGGTCTATCTATATACTAGACATACGTACCGGGTGCGAAATGCGCTTCAATCTGCTATCCTGTCTATCAGTGTGTGGTAATGCAGTGGCAACAGCGTATTCGACGGAGATACTATAGCATTTGAGATATTGGAATGGCCCTCTCACAGGCCGTCGCTCCCACTAACAGACAGAGCGACATGTTTCTTTGGCGTCCGCCTTTATCCACTGTGGCATATTTCCCCCCGCTGACTGACCACGCTATGACCGGGCTGTCTGCGGTCAAAGATACTTTCAGCATCGGAAACTTTGGGTCGTGGCGAGGGAGTCGATGGCGATTATAGCATGCAGAGCGTTAAGGTCCTCAATCCACACCCGGGGGCCGCACTGCTGATTGCCCAAACAATTGGCTAAGTTGTACCTCTTTCTATCGTGAGAAAAGGAAGACAGTCGACATTGAAAAATCTCTTGTCAATCGATTGATTTTATTTTCTCTCGTTGCTTTATCCCCAGCACTCCGCGTTTGTCCTTCCGGGGCTTCTTTCGTTTGTACGTTGTTTTGGCTGAGAGTATGGCTGTAATGACACGGAACATGGCTCGATCTGCCCCGGATTCGAACGAGCGAAGACCGATCCCGGTGACTTTGGTCTCTGGGTTTCTGGGGAGCGGCAAGACAACACTCTTGAAGAACATCCTTACCTCTGACCAGCACTCTCTGCGGATTGCCGTCATTGTCAATGACATGGCCGCTCTGAACATCGATGCTGCGCTGATAAAGCGCCATGTGGTGTCTCAGACCCAGGAACGCCTGATACAGATGGAAAACGGCTGCATCTGTTGCACACTTCGCGGCGACTTGCTGGAAGAGCTGGCCAAGTTGGCTCGTGACCGAGAGTGTGAATACATCCTCATTGAGAGCACAGGCATCAGCGAACCAATGCAGGTGGCAGAGACCTTCACGGAAGAGTTTGCGCACGCCATGATCGAGGCGGCGAATGACGGCTCGCTGCAGGGTCAGCAGGATGACGAGAGGATCTTGAAAGAGATGTACGAGACCAATTACTGCACAAAACTCCCCCCGTTCCCACGATATGCCTGCTGAACAGTCAAATTTGAGTGCTACAGGGCGGAACTTGGTGGTCTGCAAAACATTGCCAAACTCGACACCCTGGTCACCATCGTCGACGCATTCAATTTCTTTCACAACTTTTCCACTACAGAATTCATCACCGACCGATGGGGAAAGGAGGGCGTTGACCCGGAAGATGAACGGACCATTACGGATTTGATGGTCGATCAGATGTGAGTGTGACACCTGGACACTACGGGCGGTGCATAGTCCCTCACCGGATCATGGCTAACGCACCTCTACTCCAAACCCAGAGAGTTCGCCAATACCATCATCCTCAACAAAATCGACAGCGTGGACAAAGCGACAAGATCTCGAATCAGAGCTGTCATCCACCAACTGAACCCTGCCGCGAAAGTCTTGGAATCCAATTTCTCCAAAGTCGACCCCCGACAAGTCATCCGCACCGAGACGTTTTCATTCGAAAAAGCTGCCACTAACATGGGCTGGCTCCAGAGTCTCCACGACCTCAACGTACGAGAGATCAATGGGCAGCTCAAAGTCGCTCCCAAGCCGGAGACTGAAGAGTAAGATGCTCCAACGAGGCAGATGGGGAGCTAGACCCTCTGTGATCTAGGGTACTAATGAGGTTTATTAGGTATGGCATCTCCAGCTTCGTCTACCGTGCACGACGACCCTTCAATCCACGACGCCTGTATAGATTGATACACGACAAGTTTGTCATCATGGAGGGTCAGATCGTTGATGAGGAAGCGGATGATGAAGACAACGACGGGGATGAGCAGAGCGGAAGTGAAGAAGATGAAATGGAGGTTGACAATGCCGAAGAAAACTACTCGGATACTAGTGATGGTGATCCCCGTGACCCCAACAACCACTGAGGAAAGAATCGCAGATGCTGACGATCCTCCTTCTAGACTCCAGCCAGACTGAAGACCAAGACGACTCTGACGATTTTTCCAAATCCATTGACCCTAAGGTATGTTTAGTATCCTGCCATGCTCACAGAGTACTACCTGATCGGTGACGTCTAACCATCACACAGGTCGTCGTCGAGAACAAGAGAGCAAACCCCGTCTTTGCCGGTCTCCTACGGTCCAAAGGGTTCATCTGGCTCGCCACACGGCCTTTCTTACACGGAGAATGGAGCCAGGCTGGAACCATGCTGACCTTGCAGGGCGGTGGTCCTTGGTTCTGCGCTCTTGACGATGGTATGACCCCTCGTTTTTTTTGTTTTTTTTTTTCAAATCCCTGGTTCATTGCACGATGCTTGCTCGTATACACATTATTGACGCTGAGATGCCGCTCAAGCCCAGTGGCCCACGGACCCGGACACACGACGCAGCATTGAAGCCGACTTTGTCGAGCCCTGGGGCGATCGACGACAAGAGATCGTCTTTATCGGCGAGAAACTTGACCCTGTCGGCCTAACGGCGGAATTCGATGGGTGTCTATTGACAGACCCGGAGATGCGCAAGTGGGGGAAGATCATGAAGTCTACCGAGGACAAGGAGATTATCCATCGTAAATTGGCAAATGCCTTTGAAGGTGAGAAGAAGATTTGACTCCGAACAAAGTCGGGGATTGAATTCGTCACGTATGGAGTGCTCCAGCTGACAAAACTTGCCAGATGGCTTTGAGGATTGGCCTGAGCTCGTGCACGACGATGATGAAGAAGAAGGGGATGGTTACCACCATGAGCATGGACATGGGCTGGAGGGTCATCATCATCAATCTCGGTCTCAACCTCAACCTCAACATTTGAAACACCAGCGACAAAGCGGCCAGAAAAATACATCAAAATAGATCTAAGGGTGTACGGTTGATGAGGCTGGATGTATGTCTCGCTGCACATAAGAGTATTCCCTTCTCCGTACGTGGGCTCCGCGGCCCTCCAAATATATCATGCGGATTCCCCGTGCATATCCAATTTGACCCAAAGTCATTGTGCAGGAAATACTCGAAAACCACCAAGGTTGTAGCAACCATGCGGATCGCTATAGCTCCGTAGAGCGAGACGTACCAAAATCTCGGCTTTCCAACTAAGCTTCAAGATCGGTGAGGCGTTGGGAAGGCCATCCACCTGATGTTTATCATTGTTTTCCTTCTCTTCAAAGATGTCCAGGCGCTCTTCACGCCACTTGTCAGATCCCCAATGAGACCGTTTGCCTCGAAATCGGTGAGGTGAGCGTAGAAGGTCCACGATCGAAGTTGAGATCGAAGAATCTTGCGCGTACGGCCCTCGTGATTGTGAGAGCGGAGATCTGACGAGGAGGGTCTCCGCTGCCGTGGGCAGGATTTGGCCGAAAGCGCAGAGAAAGCTTATCATGGCAGGATAGAATATCATTAACTCAGAAGTCAACCGTATGATGCATCTGTTGTCTTGGGGAAATTAGTAGGGTTTGCACCATTTCTTACGGTCGAGGATCTCTAGGGTAAGAGTTCTATTCTCCAAGCACAAAGAGCCCTGGTCAGCGATGGTGTAAAGGACCCAACTCGAGGGAAAGTAGCCTCTGCAGTCCTTGACAGAAGCTGCGAAACTGAAGACCGTCAACTGCGCAAAATGATACCAAAAGTGAATGAGGGACATTCGTCTCCCATTGCCAGATCTCTTCGGACGCGATGTCTTCCTGCAGTAAGGGGAGCGCGAACAGATTCGTAAATACAAGGTGGAGCGGAAGTACTGCTAGGAATCTGTGCTCATCACATGTGAGTTCAGAGGCATTGAAATGTGCAGTTGGTGCCTAGTGGGTGCCTAATGTGCTAGCCGTGCTATTAGTGTCAGAAAGACTGGGCGGACTGGCTAAGGCTCCTCGGGCGCTTGGCAGGCTTGGCAGGTTTTGTTGGCTGGACCGCCTCGCGATACTAGATCAATCAAGGGGTTCTGTGTGTGCAGCCGATGGTGCTACCAAGGTTTACACGGGATCTGACATACAGATACATCCCTCGCTGTCTGTGCTTTGCGACCTCCGCATCCTGATTCCATACTCTTTCCTGCAACTACAAGGACGCACCGCGCTTTGCATTTCAAACCAAGGCACTTGTCCGAGGCTATAGAAGCTGCAAGGAAGGCATGTTACCACGATGCAACTCGGTCATGTCGCAGAGGAGCAACAAGAAAAAAACTTTACCCTCTGGGTGCTGGCTCTTCTACGGAAATCGCCAGAGTACCTAGCGATGCATCTTGCAGCGATACACCACCCCTGGAAAACCCACTGCAGCGTGCCTGTGGAAGAATGGCTCTTTCAATATATGCTACCGGGTCAAGTACGAGGACGGATTCAACGCAATTGTCCGCTTTGCTGCCCTTCGGAGAACTATACACCGCAGAGAGAAAGTCGACAATGAGGTTGCCACCATGAAATACCTTGCCCGATACACATCAATCCCGGTACCGGATGTTCTGGGATCAGGTACATGCGGGGCGGGCCCTTACATTGTCATGAGTTTTGTCGAAGGCGAGCCCCTTGCGGAATTTCTCAAGGACTGGCACCAGGAAGGACGGCCAGTTCTGAACCCTCGGCTCAGTGACCGCGTCTTGAAGAGAGCGTACAGGGAAATGGCTAAACTTATCCTCGAACTATCGAAGCCGGAGGTTCAATATATTGGAGCACTTTGGCAAAGCGAGGCAAATTTTTCTGTCACCAGTAGACCTTTGACTTGCAACATGAACGAGCTGGCCACAAGCGCAAACCTTCCCCCTCAAGCATTCCCAACCCAAGTCTTTGAATCAGCGCCCGATTTCTTCACATCACTCGCGAACCAGTATATTTCCCAACTCCAGCTCCAGCGTAATGATTCCATCACTGATCAAGACGACTGCACAAAGAAATACGTGGCCAGATGCCTATTTCGCAACATAGCACAGGGCATCTCCACGGAGCATCGCAACAGCCCCTTCCGGTTGCATTGCGACGACTTCCGACCCTCCAATGTTCTAATCGATCTGCAAAATCTCAACGTCACGGGTGTTGTTGATTGGGAATTTACTTATGCAGCCCCCGCCGAATTCACATGCATTGCACCTTGGTGGGTTTTGCTTCAAAGCCCGGAAGACTGGGAGTCAGACCTTCGCGCGTTCTTGGAACGTTTCATGCCGCGCTTTCGTGTTTTTATCGAAGCTCTCCGCGAACGCGAGGAAGAGAGCTCAAATGAAGGAGATGATGCGGCAGCAGTCCAGCAACGTTTATCTACGCGTATGGAGTGGTCGCTTGAGACTGGGCTGTTCTGGGTTTGTCTTGCGGCCAAATATAGCTCCATGTTCGACGAGATTTACTGGACATTCATCGACGAGATATACCACGGACCTTTTACGGCGATCGAAGACAGGCTTGGACTATTGACCAAGGACGAGAGACACAGTCTCGATGAACTGGTGCGGATCAAGTTGGGACATATTGTCGAAGGGCCTCTAGACACTTATTATACTGTGGATGACCTGATGGATCTCTGAGGCCCTCAATCACTTACCTCGTCTGCCCATGAGAACCCTTTCCGACCTATTTTTCCTGGTGGAGAGAGTCCCGTCTTCTACGTATTAGCTTTATGAGCAGATAACATTGCGGCGACGAGCCTTTCATCGTGCAGAAAAGGCTGATGGGGGCTACGTTACATTGATGTTCAGACATGGGAGCTTGGAAGGAGCTGCTCTACAGAGCTGCCTCTGGAAGTCGACCAGGACTTGGCATTGTAACACTTACCATTGCATGAATTACTGAACTTGACAACCAATTGTTGTCGGAAATATTTTCGCTGTCAAATGACGCCTTGGAAGTCTGAGGAACCTGTTGCGACGGAGGACTGATGTGCTTTCTTCTCCACCGACGAGTTTGGATGTGCTAGACCCTGTAAAGCTTTACATCCGCAAGCAAGCTGGATTCTTCTCGATCTCGGAATAGCAGTTGGAACTGAATCGAACTCCTACCGTCAGCCTGCGCATTGGACTTTCCCATTACCACATTCAACGATGCGATTTCATGGATGTGGGAGGTGCGGCCCCATCTGTCTCAAAAGCTTGCGGCAAAAGGCCGTCTTGGCGCCTCCATAGCCGCTGTCTTTTCAGGGGTCAAGGTGATCTAACGAGATAGCATGATCTCAAGCGACAATATTTACTCACTAGCTGGATTCGTGTTAGGATGTTTCAGCTGTTGCCAGTTCTCAAGTCTCGTTGAACGTCAGACAACAAGGCCCTTTGTCTCTACATTGATCTCTGCCACCACCGCAGAGATAATGGCGGACACCACAGCGGAAATCGACACATCCAGACTTTTGAGGCAATACAACGTATTTTTCGACCTCAATAAACGTCAAGCTGACGGGCATGAAGCCCTTTTTCGGGATATCACGACCCTGGGGAGCTACGATCTTGACAAATACCGCCCAGATATCACCGTTGAATCGACGCAAAAGCCTTGGAGACTGAAGACAGTTGAACGCGCAAAGGCCATCAGCGCCAAAGCCCTGCGATGCCTCGAACAGGACAAGAACGAGCTTGGTTGGCGTTTGAACATAGAATCGGAGATCCTGGCTCGATTCAGCATTGAAGTCGCATGGTAAGCCCAGATATGTCGTCCCCAGAGGCTTGTGCGGACCGTTGACTAGTGTTTGGCCCGGAATGTCGCGCCCGCCTCTGGAAATCTGAAATGGAAGTCGCTTTGACTGCAGCCAACGGAAGCATGGAAGATCTGGCGACGAGACAGAAAAATCGAAGATTATGCCAGTGCCCGTCGCGCAGGCGTGGGGAAGACCAGTCAGTGCCCGTCCAGACCGACCCCCCAAAGGTGCAGTCTAACCCTGATCCAGATTTGACGAAGGCCTAAATCCGCTTTTTGATGATCGAGCCGAGGAGGAGATCCAATACGAGAACGAAATCAGGGCCAAAATCACCAAAGGCAAAAAGCCTGACCGTGTACTAGGCATTAGACTCACCAAGAGACTGGACAGGATCCTACACGAAACGGAAGGCCCAGAGGGTAACTTGATCGTGGACTCGATCAGGACGAGCCCATTCAAACCCAGCATCCGGCCTCTTCTATTTCCGTTCCTTCTCATAGAAGCAAAGTCGGAAAAGAGTCCAGACGCCTTTTCCAAGATTGATGCCCAGTCGGGCTTTGCACTTCGCAACCTGCTTCAGCTCCAACGTAATCTTGTGCGCGCCACAGCCGAAAATCGACACTCCAGCGTGAAGCCCCTTGTTTGGTACTTGGCATACAGAGGTGAGCAATGGCGCGTCTCAGGCGCCTATGTGGAAGAAACCAAAGATGAGTCTCGACCAAATTACGTGAGTTATCCCTCTCCATCTGGGCACCGAGATTGACCACTTGCAGCGCATCCTACAACTGTGGCGGGGAGATATTACGGAAGAAAATGAGGCACTTCGCCTCCTTCTGATCTTGGACTATGTGTTCGATTGGGCGCGCGATATATATCGTCGAGACATCATCAGTGGCCTATTGTCTTTGGCTCCAAATGCATCCGAAAGTCTCATTGCAGACACTGATGTTGGCAGCACTTACGACAGGTTTGATTACTTTCGCGATGTCGACCACGATGAGCCTGCCATAGGAAATGATGTCGGACAGACGGAGCCTTTTGGGGTTCCTCACTTGCTGAAATTCTTCGACCATAAACGTCTCGCGATTCGTGATGCTAGGTATATGGCACATAAAGTCTGGGCTCTCCATGTAACCTTGGAAAACCTGGACGAGTTTTTGCAAAAAATTAAGAGCGCGGGACTAGCTAGGGCCATTGCTAGGCAACTGTGGAGATGCATACGCGGTAGCGGGACATGGTCCGTTACTGCAGACTGTCTCAACGCTGTCGAAAAGCTATGGACAGGCCAGGACCGAGAATCACACACTTTCCAGAACCCAGAACAACTCTTTCTGGCATCGTTCGCGGTGGATTCTTACCTGAAAAGTAGGGATCGTCGTGGGATGATCCCGCTTGACGTGTGGGACCAGGTTCACGCCCTGACATATGTTGCGATAGCTCATGATGCGGTGGAAGCTCTGAGAAAGAGGACCGAATATAAAGATCACATTCTGCGGCTGAATTTCGATGCTTCACGTGTGGAAGCTACCGACATGGTTTTGGATCTGTTTCGAAGTGTCCGATTCGCATCGGTGAGGCAGTGTTTCGCGGCGGCTGTTGCCAGATCTCGACTGTCCTCGCACTTTGGATCGCGCACCGAAACAATCAGGGTCCCAGGGTTTTCGAAAGAGAAAAGGTGGACCTCTTACCCTGCTCTGATCCCGGTGACATTTGAATCATCATGGATTGTCAGCCCGGCAGGACCCACTGCAGAAATGTACAAGCTTCTGAAGATTGGCAGGACCGAGCCGTCTGAGAGTTTTTTCCGCGTTTCGCAGCAGTTCAGTAAGCATGACATCGAAGCAACCTGCCCTACGCCAATGACTTGGGCCCGGAGTACACTGAAATTGCTCCCGGAAACCGACGCATTACTAGTGAAGGGACTCGATTCTGAAAATGTGGATGGTGAGAGGCGTCTGCGGACCTGGTACTGTCTTTTCGTCATTGATACGCCTCCCACGAATGATCACGAAGGGACGAACCCGTCCGAGACAGCGAGAGTCTTTCGGGGTACGCTACGGACCTTTTTCAATGTGCGGTTAGGCAGGTACAATTTCAAGGATACAAAGTGTGAAGGGGCACAGAAGCTGGAAAAAGCCCTCAAGATCTTGGAACATGTCGCGATGCAATATTCATTAATCCAGTCCATGGATGCAGACGGCGGTGCCGAGACAGCCCCCGAGTGGATTCGAGAGAAATGCAAAGTCCTCGCATACCCGAGCGTCAAGTGGCCGTATAGCTTTTCCGAGACGATAAACGGCATCAAACAAGTCAGCAAGGACTACGGATTTAGTCAGACGATACATGACCTGATCGTGGCATTTCAAACCATGATTTCGCCTCAGAATTCATATCTTGGACCCAAGGACAATCTGCGCATGGACTGGACTCCCTTCCACGAGCGGAAGGACAAGGCGAAGCGTCGTAGAGTCCACTACACGCCGGACAGCGACCATTCCAGAGCCGAGTATTCGGCCGATATACGTGGCGCCATAATCGTCGAGGATACTAGTGATGAGACGGAGAGCAGCGTTGGTTCTTGGTCAAATGACATCAGTAGCGGAGACAGCATTGGGGGACCTTCAAACGGCAAGCGACGACGACTAGAATGATGACCACGACCAGGCTCGTCATAACTTCGTATCTACCTGTAAATCATGGTGGCTGTGGTGCTAAGCCGTTAAAATCTAGCTGACTTCACTAGTGTGGCAAAGCATTTCTGGCCGTTCTGAATAGAAGTCTTTTGAGATAAATAAATGGCCGGTGTCAGTGCCATTGAACCCCTAGTCTGAAACCGAATCAGACGCTAGGCTTACTCTTTCATTCCCGAGGAACTTTTGACAGTAATAATAAGGACATATAACCTTACCTCAAATATTGCTCAGCGCTCTCAAGCGAATGTAATAGGTTCCCGCCAAGCCTGGGGAACTGCCATTTCTACTGGCGTGTTTTCAACTCCTCACTCAGATCGTCGCAGCTTTTCACGATGACCGTCCGGCTGTGCACTCACTTTTCGGGTCTCCATTTCTTCCGCTGATTGATGGCAGGTCTGTTTGTCTTCTCTCCTTACCAGTCGATATGGCCACGGGTGTTACAGAGCGAAACTCAGCGCGAGACGTGGGGGCAGCCAGAAAGGGTCGCGACAAACGTGGCCGCTACCAGGCCAAACCTGATCGCTCAAGACTGAGTAAATATCCTTCATCGTTTGGAAAATGGCTTGTCTGAGCGAGGATAGAAGAACAAAATACTGCAGCACGAGACGAAGACGACAACAGAGATGCAACTGAGTGCTCGCAAACAACACGAAAAACACGGTATAACTGTCAGTCTGCTTTCTCTCTCTACCCACTTCATTGCCCTATAATCGTGTCACTGACTCTGTTACAGCAAACCCGCACCGCCAGCGAAACCCGAACGCGCGCGGCAAACCCTACCGCACGAGCCTGCGATCACAAAAGCCACAAATCGTGAACCAGTCCCGAACTGCAAGAGGAGGACAGACGAATTCATCTGCAGCGGAGCATCACTATTATCCTGAAGAAAGCCCTCCCCAATCCATCCCTCAGTCGACTGGGATTAAGCGGAAACGATCGCAAGAATCTCAAGCTGACGCTGAAGTCAAAGTGTATGATGCTCAAGACGAGCATGTCACAAAACAACCTCGAAAAAGTCCGCCTCCACTCCTCGAACCACCTGAGGATTTACCCAAAAACATAACACAGTTCCGAAGTCTGGGTCCTTCTAAAGACCAGCTCTCTGAAAATAACTTACGACTGTTCAACGGGGAGATGAATCTCTCCGCCAACAATAGTCCGGTTCTCAAACGGACCTCGTCGAGGCGTTCCTTAGCTGCGTCATCGGACATAGACACAGTCCGATCTCAACGCTCCTCAAACACCACGGCCTGCTATCGCTATAAGCATCTTGAGGTAGCCGATATTTACATCCACACTGATCTACCTGGCGACATTGAGGCTGATATCGACCGCATTGTCAAAGCCAAGGTTTCCAAGCATCGCAGTGTTAAACTTTCTAACATTGCCAAAGGATTCTACGGGGCCTGCAAGGAAGCTGTGAAGGCTGCGGCTGGGGAAGATGACTTTGTCCACATATTCCGTCGCGCGCTCGAAGCTATGAGCCCCGATGAGATCATGTTACGTGAAAAAGCCGACTGGCGAGAGGAGCTGAAGCCAATTCCACAGCAGTCCGACCTGAACCTGAGTTTCTTGGTAAATGTGAATGCTGTGGGTAATGACCAGCAAGACGAAGTTGACGACGCCTCGGCTCCTCCGCCACCGAAACGCCAGCAACAGTCTGGAAGCCAGATGTGCTCCTCCCCCCAATCTTCAATGGTCGACGCATTGAATCCTTCTCGCGACAACAGCCAACTCGAACCGGTCGTCATGCCTCCTCCTATACATTATTCTCTCCTGGAGAAATCAAAAGAAACCGTTCCAATCAAAACACCTCGTCCGGACATCACAGTGGGTATAAAAGAAGAATCCCTCATTTCGGCCCTCTCGATTCTTACGCCACAGGATCTCAATAAAACTGAGGCTAAGCGATTTCTCAATATGCTCGAGGACACAATGATTCCGAGCAAGCGAGGCGGATCTATGGAGCCGCTGCTAATCGCAGTGCCGACACAACGCAAATCAGACCTTGTCTTTCCATTTGCCGTCGTCGAGGGTAAAGCCTATTCGACAGGCAAGCAAGTCTTTGAAGCACAAAATCAGGCCGCAGTCTCCGGGGCCTGTGGCCTCAAGATGCAGCTTTGCCTAAATGAACTGGTCAAGCGCTCAACGTCCGATTTTGCACTTCCATCGTCGACGATTCAGCCTCCGCTCTTCTTCTCCATCTGTACTGAGGGCCCATACCATGAGCTCTGGACCCACTACACCCATCTTGAAGATGGCGTACAAAAGTTCAAGATGAAGCTCTTGAAAATTTGTAATGGGGTATTGTTAGACGGCGTGGAGGACTTTATTGTCGCCGTGGATAATGTGTTACGTTGGGGTACAGGCCAATTTCTGAAATCGGTTGTGGAACGTCTGGGAAAGGTTGTCAACAAGGCTAAGTCTCAGAATGATTCTTGGAAGTAGCCCTCGAGGATGCCTATGTCCGCCATTGCTCCTGTGAGGGGCGCTCAAGATGCGAGGACCTCATCAAAGGTACGGGATTCGTCTAACCTTCTCTCCTGTGCCTATTGTACCTTGAGACGGACAAATTCCTCCAGAGACACCTGTTCCTCGGCGGTCAATAACTCGATACGCTCCTCAAGGCAAGTGAATTCCCCATAAAATCCCGAATCGATGAAACGCCAGTAAATGTCATCAAAGGCAAAGCTCGAAGTGGCTGCTAGACAGAACCAAAACGTTCCATTTTGCAGAGACCGCGCCATTTCTCCCGACAAACGCTGAGATTCCGAGAGGGCACCACACCGACTCTCTTTGTCTTCCCTCTCTTTCAAGGCCTGCAAAAAGGCCGCGTGTAGCGGGAGATACTGAGCCATAAAGTCATCAAGACTGCTCCACAGTCATCTGGATGTACCAAGAGGAGCCACCATGGCGAACAGCATGTGAAATCGGCAGGAGCAGCATAGGTAAATTCCCAGTCGATGACACAACGGAGGTTCAGTTTTTCGTCTATGATGACGTTCGAAGGACGGAGGTCATCGCAGATCAATCTGAATGGACCTCTGTCGTGAACATTCGGAAAGCTCTTTGCAATCTTGAGGAATAAGCAGCGCGCGACGTATTTCTTTCGGCAGTCTGCCTCATTTTCGACTGCGTCGTTGTGTTGCGTTCGAAGGTGAGCCATGTGTGACCTGGCCAAGGCCATAACATAATCGGTGGCTGTCGCAAATGTGTTTGTAGGTAGGTCCACGGGAGGGTAGTTGGCCAGAGCAACCAACCGGTTCATGTTCAGCGTCAAAGGCCGTTTTCTGACACACCAACGGCCCAATTCATCCCGAGATACCCCCCCAATGCGAGGGAATTGGCATTTGGACAGCTCAATCAATATCTTAGACATGACCCGATAGGCCTAGGTTAATGTTTGGGGATTGATGTTCGGATCCAGTACCTCGACTTTTTCTGGTTCTGTAGGAGCTTTGAGAGCTTCTGATAACAACTTCCCTTTACCAAGCTCCATGACCATGCAGGGACCCCAGGAAGAACCGGAGACTTTGATCAACCTTGGTGTAGGAATTGATGTGTGTTTCGCGACATACTTGATGACTGTGACCTCATCAATGACCTTCTCTTTGTGAAAGGCGACTCTGCCCGGTGTGTCGGTCAAATGTGTAAAGATCAAAATCACAGGAAGGTCACGGAGTGAACCGAAGGAGAAGGAGGGAAGGGCGATGGAACTAACCGACGCTAAACCTGAATAATCTGCGGGGTCTCTCCAGAAAAGGCCACTTCGATGGGGGTTGATTATGGTTCGGAGGTATTGATATGGATTGGCCAGGGTATGTCGACAGAGTCGTAGAGCCCGATACCAGAACCACTCTCGACAGGAACTGAGAGCGATCAAGGAAACCCTGAAGCCGGAAATGGGGGCTGGTTCTTTTATGCCCACTGCCATATCCGGACGAGGTGTTTTGATCGGTGAAGGTTTCTTGGATTTACATATCAACCTCCGCCTTCCTGCCGTTCACTGCCCTTTAGCATCAAATTCTACCGAAAACAACACTCAAATCCAGATCCGATTGCTGGGGAACCGGCTTCGGCTCCTCCCGCAACTCGGCTTTCCGACGGAACACGCCTGATCCTCTGCCATAGTATAAAGCGACGGCCCGGTGTTTTAGCACTTGAGAATCAACTCGGTATACCTGAAAGTCAGAACAGTTCCTGGGGGTGAACGACAACCATGGGCAGCTAAAGACGATGGGTTCCTTTTCTTGCGCCAGGTTTCGACCACGAAACCAAGCACGAAGTCCGCCCACAAGCTGGAAATCCTGTTACCGGGCGTGTGTTAGGCTACCACCCCAGATCCAGCTTCACTGCAAATTCAGTCTCGGATGGAAGGGCTCATAGGAGGTGTTTGACTAATACTATATCGATGGAGTCATCTGAGCAGTTCGCGATGCTCCATTCACATACATCATTCCAACACATTTTGAACCTGCCGCTTGATGTATGTCGTCAATTTCTTCAGAATGCCATTGTAACCTGCACCGCATGCCGCCGTCTCGACGTGCTGAAACAATCCACTGACTTTTGGGAAGCTGTCGTCACAGCCCGGACACCGGTATCTGAACTCATCGTCCCAGCCGTTAGTGTATAGGTTGCTCCGGCGGCAGCTGAAAGCCCATTGATCGATATCGACCTGGGTAACCTCGGAATCACAGGTCGTCGACTCGAGATGGATGAGGATACCGGAGGGGCTTTTGAATTTACGTTCGCAGCCGTAGCACTTGTTTTGACGAGGCGTGTGGATCTTCGCGTGCTTTTGGGGAGCGTCAGTTAAAAACGTGTTCTGGGGTTTGATATTCACGTTCCCGCGTACCATACGAACTTCGTTTTCATTCGCAAACTCCTCATTACATATAGGGCATCGATTGTGGAACTGGACGCGATGTTTCGATACACCGGCAACGTTTACCTGACAGTCGTAGCAGAAGGAATGTTTGGTTTCCATGTGAGCGCGAAGACTGCTTTCTTCGGGTTCGTCGGTGCCGCATTTTGGACAGACCCAATGGTTCTGCGAGTCCCGGGTATGTTGTTCGTGAGCCTCTGTGGAGATAAACAACCATTGGCACCTGTCACACCATTCGTCTTTGTGACAACGCGCGGCTTGACAGTGCTGGAGCAATGCTTGTTCGGAGTCAAATTCACGCTCGTCACATGAAATGCAGACGAATTCAACTCCCTCGACGTCGATCAGGGCCTGATTCTCTCGCGGCATTTTTTTTAGGGGGGTGCGCTCAACGATGGCGAAGGGAGTGAAAGACGGACGGGAGAGAAGAGTCAGGCGGCAGTGATATGACAAAGTCACTACATAGGCCCTGCAGAATGAAAATGTGACAAGTATGGGTGATTGGACCAGCGAAGCAGCGCTGTTCCTCAAGGGCTACGGTCTTCGGGACCACTCATTGTCTCGTGGCAGGGATGAAGCATGCATAAAGCTGCGGTCTTACCGCAGGTAAAGGGGTCACGAGACCTCTATGCACTTATCACATGCTGCGGAGGCAGCGGCTGATGGAAGCCACACAGCCATCTTGGCCGCACACCCTGCAAGCTTCGGCCGTTCAGCCTGATTGTGCGTTCTTTGCTGTAAAGATTCCTATAACTGCCCTCCTCCCAGTCGCTAGGTCGGAACTCGTGTGCGAGCCCCAGTCTGATCGTCCAAGCCGGATCGTCATGGATAAAGCGCGCCAAATCTTACGACCGACGCGGTCACCTCCAAAGCTTTCCAGCAGGAGATTATCCAGTGTCTGCGGTTAGATGGATCGAATGCCGTTGCAAATGCCTAGCCGTATAGGCTATAATGACCGAGGTAAAGAAAAGAACAGTCTGAACTAAACGAGGTTACAACTATTGCATGAATTATCCTGTTCTGTGTGTTTGCATACTGTCTGGATGGCGAAAGGTGTGAAGATACCACCACCAAAGCCATTGAAATACTCCTGGGAGGAAGGCTCAGTCTCGCAGCCTTGTGCCATTCATGTCTCTCCATCGCCATTTTGTTTTCGTGTGGGATTACCCCCTCATGTATCTCAGGGTTTTTGCTGACTTTGTTCTTTCGTGATGGCGGAAACTGGCAGTGCGTGTACTTGTACGGAGTTGGTCGTCAGGCAGTTCGAGGTTGAGTCTAGCCAATCACTTGGCGGAAGTCACTAGCGTGTCTAGTTTGGCTAGTTCATTTTAGGACTAGAATATTCCAACTAAGCCTGTCTCCTGCTTTCATCACCGCCAACATCGCCAACTGTTATGTCCAAATACCAAATTCGACCTCATGGAGCGAGAGACTGCAGTAGCTAACACTAAACCTGACCCTCCAACTCTTGCCACCATCGAGAATCTCCCAATGGTGGTGAAAGCCATACGCGACTATGCCTCTCAGTCAGACTTTGCCAATCTCTGCCTTGTCTCTCAACAGTTTTACCATATAGGAAACGTCATGCTCTATGAGTCCGTTACGTTACTCTCAAAAGGAAACCGCGACACTAGATCAATCCTGGCTCTCAAACGGACGCTGACAGCGAAGTCTTGGCTTGCCTTCTACGTACGACGCTTACACTGTCTATCACAGCATCGTGGGAGGATCTCCGCGGATGATCTTGAGGATTCATCTCTCCTCGGCATACTATCAGATCTGCTCAGCCTTCTTGAGCGTCTGGAAGATCTCGAGATCGTCGATTGCTTTCCGCAATCCAGCGAAGGAGCTGAGAGACTGAATCAATCACTCCGATGGGTACCTTCACTGCGACGTTTCACATGCAACCTCCGAGTACCGCAGTGGCCACAGCCTGCCCCAAAACTATACGCAGTCAACACTTCGATACTGAAGGGCGCGCTGTCACTGCCATCACTCATCAGCTTCTCAACAACGTTAGAGGAAGACGACTTGGCAGAAGCGCTATCCTTGCCTGCTAACACTAGTATATCGACACTCAGTCTGAACAACCTGTTTGTGAGTACGGAAACCTTTAGGACAATCCTGGCCGCTCTGCCGCAGATAACGGACTTGAATCTTGAATTTGTACGATATATTGATTCTTACGATTCTCATGTATCGCGCCATGTGGACTGCAGAGAACTCCAGACAGCTATATCGGGTTTCACACTGACGTTGAGAAGACTGCGAGTCGTGGCAGACTTCAGGTCTGTCGAAGGCGGTGACCCTTGTCAGGGCGGCGGAGACGATGCGCCGTGGGGTTTTCTGTCTACACTCGATCTCAAAGCCTTTTCCATGCTTACGGAGTTGGAATTGTCTCCTGAACTGCTACTTGGTTGGAAGGTGGAATCGTCACCCGAGCTTTCTGCCTGCTTGCCGTGTCACCTGGAGTCGCTTTACCTGAGGTATGACTATGGGGCTTGGTACGACTCGGTGTGGGATTTTGAGAGACTGTCGGAGAAACTTCATCCGTACATTGACCACCAGTCGTCGTTGCGAAGCCTCACTGTGGAATATTTCGACTTCCTGGAGGACGAGATCACAACACTATCGTCGTCGCTCCGAACACAATGTGAGCACGCTGGGATTTGTTTTCGGCTAAGGCTGATATAGAATCCACTCTGATGGAAGGGGTATGTCCTCAGTCGCCCTGTTCAGAAAATACATCCAATCACATCACCTTTGAAATCAGTTGGCTCATGATTCTTGATGATTTCGGGCGTTCGAGATTGTGAGATTGTGAAGAGATCCAACAGGTCAACCAACTCATAACCTCTCGTATTCGTATTCACGCCCGAAGGACACGCTCACAAGAAGTAGCGCCCAGCTACACTCTACAGGGCGCGTCACGAGGGGAGGGTTCCAGCTGTAGCCCGCAGCACAACTTACCAGATGCAGACTGGACTGCAGCTCAAGTGTTGGAAGTTGCATATCCGAGGGAAAGGCCGTGACGAATCAAACCTTTCTTGCTGCCAGAGAAGATAAGGCTGAGGGACCCCAATCATGCACCTGTCCGCTTAGGGGACGGGACGAACGTTGATGGCAACAACGTTGGAGCCCAGGGCGCAGACTCTGCATCAGAGACGCTGTGACGACCATTCGTGTTGGCCTGGGTCCTGCGGCTCGAAAGATAACGCGGGATTTCCTCTGCTCCCCTTCGCCTGCTTCTGCCCAAGACCTCCCGTCTTGGTTTTGGACTCGTCTTTACCCCTTGGCCGATGAATTCTACTAATTCAAACTCTTTCCCGTATATCTTGAGGAAACCTGTCCACATTTTCAAGATCAAACACCTCGGTCGCTATCTTCCACTAGTTGTTCGACATGTCCAGAAACAGCTTTCGTCTGGCATTTGACGAGGATGCGTACAAGAGCCTGGATATCCTCGCAGCATCAGCTGTCCTCGACGTTTCCTTGTGTAACCTCGGATGGTCCGATAAATTGATTGGGCATGTCGCCATTCAAGCCCGGGAAGAACTAAATGACCTTTGGAAAGATTGGGCGAATACGCACAAAGATCGAAGATTTGCGACACCGCCAACGGCCGTCACGGCCCTGTTTGACGAAGACAACTGCCGCCTATTCATATGCACGTCCGTCAAGGGCATGCGCGCAGACTCAAGCTTCCTGGACAGGCTCTCTCCCGAGCGGCGGATCTTCATCGACAAAATCCTGTCCCTCAGCAGCGAGGAAGGGGTCGAGCCGGGCAAATACTCCTGGCACATGTTCCAGGCCAACTGTGCCGAAGTACACGCACTCTGCCAGTGGCACCTGGCACGCCCAGGAGACGCATGTGACCGACTCAAAGACGCCGTCATGGCGACCGCCGGCGGGCCGACGGGAAAGGACGCAGTGGTGCCGGACGTCGTCCTCTACAACCCCTGTGGCAGACCTCCGGCCCCGAATCTGGATCGGCGGCCACCGGGGTGCAAAGAACTTATGGAGCTGCTGCGTGTGTGGCCCCTGAACCGTTCTGCCTTTGAGAAGTGCAAAGTTGAGGATGCCCAAGATTACAGCCTCGAGCCGGTGATCAAGGGAGTGAATTCGAGCAAGGACAACAAGAACCGCTCTTTGGTTTGTTGAGGTTTCGAGTGACCTTTTGTTATGGTTTTGCAGGGACAAGGTCGAGGACATGCGCATTTTCTGGGTTTCAACGTCCTCTTCCGTATCGACTGTTTTCTTTCCTTTGGAACAGCCAGCCAGCCAGCCAGCCAGCCGCCTCGTCAGGTCGAATTGGGGTTTGACGACGAGGACTGACCATTTCAGCCTGGAATATACTTCTCCTCGAAAATGGTCTAACTTAATTGGGAAACACGTTTTGTCATTAGCGACTTAGTGAGCAAGCTAGATCCTTAGTGAGGGGTAGGTCCATATATTTCCCGGTCGCACCGAGAAGTCCTACGTAATTGAAGAACCCCATCCACGGCTCGAAACATTGGAGCACAGTTTACCTCTTGTCCGTGTACAGGCGTCAACACACTCTTTTCGTTCTTCTGTACACCCAACCAACCGACCAACTGACTACACGGGATCATCGCTTTCTACCACGACCGTCTCCCCCACCGATTTTCCTTCCCGCGCCCCGCTTCTCGGACTCTGACCAAAACACCTTCCCCTTCTCGCCCTCACCTACTACCTTCCCACCAATAGCCCAAAATGTCAGGAACAACTCCTCCGGCCATTATAGCGCCCTCGATACTGAGCGCCGACTTTGCCGAACTGGGTCGCGAGTGCGCCAAAACAATGGACCAGGGCTGTGACTGGCTCCATGTCGACATCGTACGTCTGCGCTGAGCACGAAGCCCCAAGCATACTTCATCCACTCTTGAAAAGGACAGGGGAAAGTATTGGAGTCTTTCCAAGAATAGAAAGAGGAGGTCCACAGCGCGGGAAAACACAGTGGTCTTTCTCATCTTTTGAGAGGCATGACATACAAGCTGACGTTCTTCTCTGGCAAACTTGTAGATGGACGGCCACTTTGTCCCCAATATCACGTTCGGCGCGCCGGTCGTGTCCAAGATCCGACCGCACGTGGAAAGACCGCAGAAACCGGGCGGTAGAGGCACATTTGATTGCCACATGATGATTGCAGAGGTGAGTCAAGCCAAATTCGAGTTGTCTGCAGTTGCGAAAAAGAGAGAGCCGAGCGGTGGGTGGGTGGGCGGGTGAAAAGAGAAGGACTGCACAACATCGGAAGCTTAGGTCTGCCGAGGACGTGACTGGACAGGCGACAATGAAGGGAAGGTGACAAAATATGGAGCGATGTGAGGGCTGGTCCATGTCTTCTTCTCCCGAAACGCAGGGCCGACGCAGACACAGACACAGACACGCACTCTCTGGCTTCAAAATTCTCCCCTTGCGTCCTCTTCCTGCTCGAATCTAATGGGAACTGACGAGAGAACACGCAACAAGCCTCACCGCTGGGTCTCCACATTTCGCGACGCAGGCTGCGACCTCTACTGCTTCCACTACGAAGCGGCCGTCAGCTCGGTCGCAGCCACGACACCCGAAGACAAGACCACGACGCGACCCACGTCGCCCAAGGAACTGATACGCTACATCCACGAACTCGGCATGCAGGCGGGCATCGCGATCAAACCGGAAACCAGTGTCGACGTGCTCTGGGAGATATTGGAAGCTGAGGACAAGCAGGACAGACCAGATGTAGGGAACCTCACTAATTCCCCCAGCCCGTTGAAGCCCTTTCTTTCCCCCTCATCACACCCAAAAAGAAATTGACTTTGGACTAACGCATTACTGCCATCTTGTGTCTCTTAACAGATGGTCCTCATCATGACGGTGCACCCCGGCTTCGGCGGCCAAAAGTTCATGGCCTCGGAACTCCCCAAGGTGACGGCCGTGCGGCAACGATACCCGGACCTCAACGTCGAAGTGGACGGCGGCCTCTCCGAGTCGACGATCGACCAGGCCGCCGACGCCGGCGCCAATGTCATCGTGGCTGGCTCGGCCGTGTTCGGAGCCAAAGACCCCGGCCACGTTATTCGCGTGTTGAGGGAGGCCGTGGAGAAGCGGAGGGGAGGGGCCGGCAGATTATAGATTATAGAGTTTGTTTTTACCCATCGTAGAATTATGAAGAATGATGATGATCCAAAAAGCTGGTAGATACTGAGAATCATGGAGATGATGCTCAACAAAGTCGGTAGATGACTGGTAGAGGGAGGTACTTGTACAGTAACAACTACGCAAAATCTTCGAGTTCTTCCCATGCCGTGATGGTGATCACGTGATATAACGCCGCCGAGTTGTCGTTGTCGCAAACGATGAATTATATGTAGGTCAGTGACCTGTGAGTGAACTCACCGTTTGGGGTAGGTACTTGTACATGTGCCTATACTTTATACTTTGTACCAAGAAGAGGAAGAAGAAAGAAGACGACGTGGATTTCCTAGGAATGTTGGAACGTGGCGGTATTTACTCAAGCGCCATTTTTAGCACATACGTCCAGACAAGGCGGTCGCGGATATATAGAATGCTCCATGCGTGCGGGATATGTAGACTAACGTAAGTCACCTTACCCTAGAATCGCGAACAGGCTTGATATTGATTCACTCACCCTCCTCCTCGTTTGTACTAGCAGGAGTAGGATACCCGCCAACATGGATATCAAGCTCAAATTCAACCATTTAACCAGTATTCAGGTCATATGAGGAACCTGTCTGTCAATGTTCAAGACAGCAGTAGATCCTGACTGAAAAAAAGGAACAAGGAAATGCAGTAGATATCCCTCCAACCTCCCTTTTAGTGATTTTCTCCTGTAAAAAAGCTCGTCAATAACCGCTCTTCCCTTTGACCACATCCCTCGCGCCGCCTTTCTTGCCAAACATGTCCCTGACGTCCCGCAACGGGTGCTCCGGTCGCTCGTAGGCGTAAAAGTGTCCGCCGCTCGGGTTGGTGCGCTCGAAGACGACGTCGCCCTGCGTCCGCGTCCAGGTGCTCGGCAACACCCTCAGCTCCTTGGGCTGGTGGCTCAGCCCCAGCTTCACCCCGCCGCCGATGTACTCGCGCGTGCGGTCGCGGGTGACCCGCGTGGCCGGGTTGTCCCACTCGTGCGTCGACTCGTAGTAGATGCGCAGGGTGGCGGCGGGGCCCGCGGTCGAGAACCAGTAGATGCTCATCCAGGTGCAGATCTCGTCGTCCGTCCAGGGGTACGAGTCGGTCCAGTCGCGCAGTTTCTCGTAGATCCACGCCAGCAGCGCCACGGGGGAGTCGGCGAGCGCGTACCCCAGCGTCTGCGGCCTCGTGGCCTGCTGCGCGCGGTAGCCCGACGACTCTTTGAAGAACCAGTCGGTGCGCTTCAGTCCCTCCTTTTCCGCTGCCGTGTACGGCGTGACCGCGTGCTGGAGGGCCAGAGTGGGGTGGGTCAGGAATGACGGGGCATCGCCCTGGTCAAAGTTGACATGTGTCGCTTTGCAGTGCTGAGGGTACCGCAGCGACATGGCCCGTGTGATGTAGTATCCCCAGTCGCCACCTTGGGTCACGTACTCGTTGTACCCGAGCTTCAACATCAGCTTGTTGCACGTCTCGGCGTACTGCGCGATGGCGAAGCCTTTCTTCTTGGGCGCCTCGGAGAAGCCATAGTTTGGCAGGCTGATGGCCACGAAGTGGAAAGCCGGATCGTCCGACCCCGGGTCCGGCGAAGGCAATTTGTCCCAGATCTTGACCGCCTCGAGAAAGCTGCCGGGCCAACCGTGCACGAAGAGCAACGGGATGGCATTTTCCACGCTCGATTTCTGGTGGAGGAAGTGTACTTTCAACGGCTCGAAGCCGCCCTCCACCTGGATCGTCGTGCGATAGTTTGGCAGCTCGTTCAGCTTCTTCTCCGCCTCCCGCCAATTGTATGTGTCCTTCCAATATCTTGTCAGCCGCTGGACGTCTGCCAGCGGCGTGCCATAGTCCCAGGCCGCATCCTCGAGCTCGTCGGGGAAGCGAGCGAGCGAAAGGCGAGTCTTGAGGTCCGAAAGGGCGGTGTCGGCGACGCTGATGGTGAATGGTTCAATGTCTGCCATTATGGTGAGGGTGCTGTAAGAGGAACACACGCGTGGTATCTAGTGGACGTGTTGCGCAACTTTGTCGGAAGAGGTACCTTGGGTCAATTGCATGATTATATAGAAAGATTGAAGTGAGGTCTGTTTTGTCAGCTCCCAGTTATTGGCTTTTCCACCTACCTGCTGTCTGCAGGGCTAATACCGCCATCATTTGCCTAGGCGGGAAGTAACTGAAGTATCGATAGACATGAAAGGCGCAAGGCAAAGGCGTGAATGACAACAGCGCCCGGCAGTAAGAATCGGTTGGATGGAAGCCAGTCTAGGGTGTCAACGGGAAGAGCACCAAGACCCCGAGGGAATCTGGGATGACCCCGCAGGAATGACTACGGAACCGAGAAGTCTTAGGCCCAGGCTATTCGACCCGCCATGTATCGAGTACCGAGTACGCTGCAATCAATCAAATTCCATTGCTAAACAGTGACCCGGAACTGTGGTCGGCGGAATCCGAGCTATGATTTTTGTTCGAGTACAAAAGGGAACTACCTGGATGATGCCCAATATTGTCTTACCGAACCAGGTCAAGATCAAACCATGCAGAAAAGGTCATGCCCAGCCTCTGAATCAACAAACGACCAGCAACTGAAAAGCGTATCAAAAGGTGAGGCCGAGGGGATTGGCGGCAGCTGTGGGATTGCCTTGCACCTTTGGTCGATTTGATGTTGTTGATGTCGTCGGCGGCTTCGAAGCTGAAGACGTGTTGGGCTTATTCGAAGCTTTCTTACCCGCAGCGGTCTGCTTCGTGTCACCGTCGTCTGCTGGCTTGCGCCGCATCGCGCCTGGGTTTGGTGTGGTAGGAAATTTGTTTGCACCCCCAGCTTTGTTCGCACCATTGCCTTGCTTTTGCTGCCTCATGGCTCCGGGATTGGGATGGGTGCTTGTCCTCGCCGCCGACTGTACAGGCTTGAGGGGAGCGGTACCAACCTTCTTAGCGGGAGTGGCTTTGTGGGACGCCCCTGTCGATTTCGGACCTGGAGCTGGCAATGCCTTCTTTGGAGTGCCTCCCTCGATCTGTTTTTGAGGTGCTGCCGTCTTGCTCGTGGTCAGCAACCTCTTCGATGGGGATGTCTTAGGTGTCGACGCAGGCGGCCGGTAGATCTGAGGACTGGTAACCTGTAACCTCCCCCCCGTCTTCCCTGCACTCAAACCCAGAGGATTGCTTGCCGTTGCTGCCCGAACTCCTCCTGCCTGCGTCCAATCCATGATGCCATTGCCATAATCCTTAACCCCATCTCCATATCTTCGAATTGTGGAATTGATTGACTCCCCCACCCCGTTGATACTGTTGCCTACAGCATTGACTGCTCCACCAGCAAATGCACCAGCACTTGCCACCGTGCTCGAGACAGTGGGCGCTAGTGCCTCACTGACCTTTCCCAGAACCCATTGAGTTGCCATTCTTTATGCAGCTGGGGTGGCAGAAGGAGTAGCGGGAGTGGCCGACTTTCTGGGACCAAGCTTCGGAGGCTTTCGTTTGGGCTTCTCTTCCCCAGCAGATGTGGCACCGTTGACGCTTTCGGCGGGCTCGGGCTTGTCGGCGCTAGGAAGTGCTTCTCGTGGCTTCTGGTGGTGCGTTGGCTGACGAAGGGTGGTCAACTTCTGTCTCGGTGGTGGCCTGGGAGTTCCAGTAGGATCCTCGACCACTGGCTTCGGTGGTAGTTTGGGTGCGGTGCGGACCTTCCACTCGGGTTTGGCCTTTGGAGCAGTCTGTCCTCGAGTGGCTGTGATGTTGATAAAGTCCTTGTCAAAGAAGATATCAAATGATACGTTAGGCATTGGAACCTGTCAACTTGCGTCTGCACCTCAGTCAAGGGTACAGACAAGACCAAATAGCATGAATTTCTGAACGTGAGGGCGAACGAGTCGTGATGTCAAGAGAAAAGGGTTAGATTTTATCCCTTGGATGTCTTTCTCTCTCAAAGCTTCCTCCTTTCGATCGGCAACAGGGACATGCGAGGTATGATATGGACAAGTCCACCCAATTGAGTCTCCTGGTGCCTCCCACACAAACGTCATCTTAGGCTGCGCACAACCAGCTTGATTGGAGAGTCGCAGCACCGCCACCGGTGCCACAAGGGTCCTTTTCCTGTTTTTCCTTGCTTTCGACACCTCCTTCTCTCCACTGGCAGCACTCAATCCTTGTCGGATGATACGAATCTGGACCGCCCCGACCAGGGTGCTCTCTCAGAAAGCCCTCTTCGATCGTTGATGCAGCCCCAAAAGTGCGATGAGCCCAGAAGGCTACGGGAGCGGGCAGTTCTGTCATTTGTTCGTATCTTCGGATCAGTCGTTCGTCTCCCTTCAAATGCAGCCGCTTAGGGATTGAGAAGGCACGGGGGGTTCTGGCGAGCGCCACATTCACAAGCAGAACTGGCCAACGGCGCTTGGTCAACACGGGCTGGGTGACAGCTCCCAGACAGTGATCCTCTCGGGCCTGAAAAGAAACATGGACCCTTTGTACGTCAGTGTGGCGTTCGTAGAGCGATCCCAGCCTTTTCGAATATTATTCTGCATGCATCACACATGGCAGTCCGCAGATGTGGCTGTTCACATACCAACAATAATGGGCGGGAGGAGGAAGAGAAGGGACAAACAGAAAGCTTGCCATAACTACGGGTAGTTAATAACAATGGCTTCATCCAGAGCACCTGCTCTTGAGCCTGCTGCCGGCTTTTCGCTGGACTCGAGACCGGAGCGGCCTGATCGAGTCCCCCTTTCAAAGGGCGAATTCTCTGTCGCGTCCAGGGCTCTAGCCCTATCAACCTATTTTTTGTCTGGAGCTTTGGCTATCAACATCTCTCAATTTCTGGGAGCTCCGTTGCGAGCGATCAACGAGGATTGGTATAATGCATGGATCGCGTTTACCAAGCAGTCCTTCGGGCTGCTCACAATGACCCTCACCCAGACATTCGCGCCGACAAAGGTCATCGTCTCTGGAGACAAGTCGGTGCGAGGGCAACTTTTGAAGTCGACCGAGGGAGACCTGATTTTGGATTTTCCTGAACGGCTTGTTCTCATTGCAAACCATCAGATCTACACCGATTGGCTTTACCTGTGGTGGATAGCGTATTGCAATGGGATGCATGGTCGCCTCTACATCATCCTCAAGGAATCGCTGCGCAAGATTCCTGTAATAGGATGGGGGATGCAGCTGTATCAGTTCATCTTCTTGAAGCGCAATTGGGAGCAGGACAAGCCCAACATGGCCAGCGCATTGCAACGACTGAATAAGCCCACAGATCCAATGTGGCTGCTTCTTTTTCCAGAGGGGACTAATCTTGCTCCAAGTACTCGCACGCGAAGCGCCGAATGGGCGAAGAAGAACAATATTCCGGACACAAGGCACGTCCTGCTGCCCCGAAGCACTGGTCTACAGTTTTGTCTAGAGGAGCTGAAGGATACTGTGGATTACCTCTATGATTGCACTATAGTCTATGAAGGTGTACCCCGTGGACAGTACGCACAAGATATCTTCACCCTGAAAGCGGGCTATTTGGAAGGCCGGCCTCCAAAATCCGTCAGCATGCACTGGCGCCGATTTGCTATCAAGGAGATCCCACTCCACAACGACAGAGCATTTGAACTATGGCTCAGAGCCCGCTGGCGGGAAAAAGATGTCATGATTGAAGAGTACTACCAGACTGGCAAGCTCCCAGCCGACTATGGCGCAACGAAATATAAATCTGGAAAGATTCTTCGGGGATGCGGACATATGGACGTCCCAATCCGTGCAAGTCATTGGTACGAGTTTCTCCAGATCTTTGCACCGATGGGGATCCTGGCGATGATCCTGTATATCTTCTATGGCGACCTGCCGAAGCGGTTCTGGAAGAGCATCAACAAGGAAGCCCTTCAAGCAGGCACTGAAGACATCAAGAGGGCTGGTATACAAGCCGGCAAAGGAGTGCAATCTACTTCATCCGCCTTGAGCGGCTTAACTTTGGACTCCTTTTTCGAGCCAGGGAAACAGGAGGAGACGTTCGCAGCCGGTGCAGTGGCTGTACAAAAGCTCCTCACCTCACCCCAAGCGCAAACGCTTCTTAACCGAGCCGACTTTATCCAGGCGTTCTTATCAGACCCCCAGAAGCTGGTGCAGGACAGCATTACGGACAGACAACAGAATTTCATGCAACAACTTGCCCAAGAAGAAGCCAAAAGACAGCAAGGGAGAATACCCTCCACTTCTCGTACGACTGCCCTGAAACCTGCTACCAACACCGCAGCCAAAGGGGATTTTTGGAAGCAGGTTGAGGCAGAAGAAAATAGCAGGCACGGCTCCGTCGTCTCAAATGTCCCAAAAAAGGGCTCCTTTTGGAATGCTCTGGAGGCCGAAGAACAGAGTAGGCGAGGCTCCGTCATATCCGTCCCGACATCGACGAGCTCTAAACAATCAAAAGGTACATTCTGGCAGGACCTCAAGGCCGCAGAGGAAAAGAAGGCAAACTCGTCGGCAACGAAGCCACCTCTCGCGAAGAGTGGATCTGGAAATCTTGCTCTCCCCAAAGGGAATTTTTGGGATGCCGTGAAGGCCGAGGAGAACAGTCGGTATGGGACTGTGATGACTTTGTCGAGTAATGCGTCCACGGCTGTTGCATCCACAAGCTCTGCGGGAGGAAAGACAGTGCTCGACCCGCGTTCTAAGCCTGGGTTGACCAAAGCCCCAGCGAAACTCGACGTGAGTGCTCTAAAGAAACAGCCTCCCATACAAAGTGTACCAAAGGCGACGAATGGGCAGAAGACAATCTCGACCACGCTCCCTACCAAGAAAGCGAGCACCGGTGTATCAACCCCTGTGGCGGCGACGAAGAAACCAGGAACGGCTACCTCGACGACAAGCGCGACCAAAAAGTCAGCGTCCTCAACACCTTCGAAACCCACGCCCGTTGCCCCGAAGAAGAACTCGGTCATAAACACCCCTGCGAAAACGACACCTGTCAAGCAGACGCCTTCCTCTGTCCCCGCCGGAACTCCCAGAAAGCCTGCTGGGGCCGCTCCTTCAGCAACCAAGCCGCCGCCTGCGCAGAAGTCCAAGGTCAACACCAATGCCACTGCCAACACCAATCCCGGCCCTTCCAAGCCCAAACCAAACACGAGCACGAACGTCAATAAAGTCGGTACGACTGCGCCGACTCCAAAAAGGCCCACAGCGGCGTCGAATGCAGCAGCCGGAACTCCCTCTAAGACTTCACCAGCGACAAAGAAATCTGCGGGGACGACGGGCGTGAAAGCATCTAAACCTGTAAATGCGGCTGCGAGGCCAAAGCCAACCCCAAAGACCAGTACCACGAGTAACCCGGCGGCGATAGGCACGAAGAGCACGACAAAGAACAACAACGGTACCGGGCCACCGAAGCTGCTCAAAACTTAGGAATGGCATGACATGGGACTATGTGAAAGGCAAAAGGATGTGATGATATGGTATCGCAGAGTCCGCAGTGACCGAAGGAGGGGGAATAGGACAGCGAGTTATCATTTTGGAAGTCAAAAACGTAACTCACTGGATTTACTTCCAGCTGTCAGCTTCCATGTTTAAATCTGTCGAGGTAGCCAGGCTGTCAGGCTACCTACGTGTGTATGCATGCGTTTGCTGCTTGCTGCTGCTGCATACCCTGTCCCTTTGCGCCATCCCATGCCACACCGCACCATATCATGCTGTGCTGTGGCGTGGCGTGCCTGGTCATGTCGTGATACGTTACACGTACCCCATAGCATGCATGATTTTACGATTGAACAATACAGTACCCAAGTTAGGTAAAGTAGGTAGGTATGATACCCATTGGGATGTTTCACAATGCGTTCACAGATATCACCATCACCATCACCATTGCCATACATACATGTATGCATGCATGCATGCCATGGAGGTCGGTCGGATATCGGTTAGTCCTAGGTGACACGGGCAGTAAGGCCTTTTTAAACACTCATGTTGCCCCATTCCCCTACGCCCACGTCTGAGACTTACCTGTATATACGAAATATATACACCCTCATTTTTCAGCAACTCTGTCTGTCCGTGCCCGGTGAGATAGACAAAGTCGTGTTCCGTCTGAGCGTTGAGCGCTCCATCTCTCTGTCTCTCTTCCACATTCTCTGTTCATTCTCGGCAATTCTCCTCCTCTCGCTGCAGCTTCCGGATTGAAGGTTGTTACACAAGGCTGGGATGGTCCGAGCGCACGTGCGTCAAACAGCCTTGTCAACCACACGAAAAACAAAGCGCGTTGACGTGACTGCGGCCGCAGTAGTGAATGGGCACAATTCGTCACTTGTCCGTCAATATCGTCGACTCCTGGATCCTCACAGACAGGAAATCCTATTGTTAAAATTGATCTCTTATATTTCTCTGGTCCAAGCTCTGCTCATTTGACGTCTCCCCTATTTTGTATTTTGATGGTCTTCCA